ATTGAATTTTGTCGAAATACCTACATGTAAAATAATAGTCTCGCTATTGTTTTTTAAATATAGTTTTATTATCAAATATATCATCATTTTATATTATCATTTTATTGATAAACAATTTTTGTTAAGTTTTTTTATACTATTTTGATGCATATATAAAATAAATATTTCATTACTTTTTTCTTATCTTTTTCATATCAATTTAAAAAATTTAAATTAAAAAAATGATAAAAATTGTTTATTTGTCATCATTGCTTTTGAATACTATGAAAATAATGTAATATGCACCTACTTTGTGATTGAAACCACACGCTTTTCAAAGTACAATGCAATGCTTTTTAAAGTATATACAAGACACAAGTGTCCATGTCGTTTTTCTCTGGTGATTGGCCTGGTACTGGGACCGGGAACATGAAGGCCAAGCAATATGGTTTGGACGAACTCGTGACAAGTCGTGCGTAGAACATTACATTAACATGCGATTAGTCAGTTTCTTTGCTTACTAGATATCTCTTAACAAAATAGAACTGACAATGAGTTATCTTGAACTACACTTAAGTAAATTTCCAAGAAAATGCCTAAAGGCTCTAAACTTTGCGACACCCCAATTGTGGTAACGTGGCACTCCGGTTGAAAAACACTGGGTTAAAACCTGCAATCGCTAAGTTGGAATTCGTACCACCTGATGCAGGAGATGGAAACCCCGATACGAGAAACGCCAATCCGTCATCCCTAACAGAGGAGCAACCTCAGACAGAACAGGTCAACCCCTGGGATGAAATCATTTTAGAGTCACTGCAAGAAAGCCAGTTAGATACCACAAACACCGCCAGAGACACGAAAGTTGAACAACCCGTGACTTTGTCGCAACCTACACACAACTACGCTCTCCGAAGTCAAGGACCAGTAAGCAAGTATCTCAGGGTCCTTCCTAAATCTTCGGGAATTGTACAACCAAAGGTGGGAGTGTTACGGGACGCGGAGGTCAGCGAGATCACTCTGCGGAGTGAAGGCCTCCCGCGGCTGCCACACCCTACTGCAACTTGATTGTTCGCTGATTGTAAATGGTAGCTTCTCTTTCTTATGAAAGGGGGGTATCATCTTTTAAATGGAGCGAGGTTTATTGTAAATACGCGTTCGCATCTAAATCAATTGTTGCAAAATCAAACTAATAATAATGTAAACTCCCTTTTTGGTAGATAACGATGGGAAAATTTATAGTAATCTATTTGTTCATATTGCTGAGTCGCGACGTATCGACGATTGTACCTGCCTTAACCAAAGGTATCATATTCTCGCATCAAGGAAACTTTCTTATGACTACAAGCCAATGGACTATGGTTATAGAAATATCGTTCGAAGAATACGACAAATACCTCCGTGGTGTGCATCGTCACCTGGCTTCCCTATCTCCCGTTGTTTAAGAAAGGAAAACAGAGACAAGATGACCCCATGCAATCTTTGTGGACTTTAGCTGACGCAGAACTGACAAACCTACAACGATCCCTTGCCGATTTCGAGGCAGAATATAAAGAATTAAAATCTACCGTAACCATAGGAAATACCTCTCGAACGAAACGAGGATTAATCGACATTGGAGGAAAAATCTTAAAATTTTTTTTCGGAACGGCTACATCAGAGGAAGTCGAAGCAATGAATAGCCAGATAGACAATTTATCCCGAAATCAACAAAAATTTGTGCACATTTTAGAAGCCCAACAACCGTCATGAACCAAACTCTACAAGCGGTCAAGGACAACCGGAAGTACATCGACATGATGATCCGACGACAGAACTATTTAGAGGAACAACTCCAGGTGTTCAGTTATTCATTCGTCGTTTATACGTTCGTCGTAAGTACAGCACTTAGATACGTGGAAAACGCCGTTACAGAATTAAGAATCGGCGTCACGAATTTAAGACAGGCAGTGGAGATGTTAGAAAACGACAGACTTACCTCATACTTCCTGCCAAGGTCAGAGTTGTTAGAAGCGCTAACGGAAGTAAACAAACATTTACCCAGCGGAATTTCGCTGATCGAGACTCTAAATGAAGACAACGTCTTTAAATACTATCAATGGATAACCACCACGGTAGTGGCGCTTCCGTGAACACTGAGAATTTTCGCAAAGTTTTCATTAATCACTCCCGAAGGATATTTTGACTTATACGAAGTAGTGGAGTTCCCCGCATATTTCCTTGTTTCGAAAACGTTTGCTCATTACCAGACCGAATATCCGTATATCGCCTTATCAAGAAATCGACAACTTAACATGTTACTAGAAGCCCATGACTTGCAAAAATGTAGGTTTGGACTGAGCACGATCTGTGCGCCGGAGGTCGCCGTTTGGAGACTTCCGTATCAATCGTGAATATGCTTTATTCATAGCGGATGAGCCAACATTAAACAAACTATGTAAAAGTAAAGTATCAATCAATCCAAAGCCAATGTTCCGACGCATAGACGAGGAAGGAACTTGGATATATTCCATTCCATTACCTTTAAATTTGGTTATCGAATGCAACCTAGAAAGAGACCTACAGTGTTCTCCAGTCAAGATGACCGAATGGTTACCGATTACTGTGAAATCTAGACCGCTTCACAACATCCCTGGGGAGAGAGAGGATGAGCGAGAGCCAATAACCATATCTAAACGGGAAGAATCCGTAGCACTTCCCGTCGGATTTGAAACAATTCCCTCGCAAACGAGACGATTATAAAACGGCGCGAGAAAATTAAACCTCCTGAAGCGGTAGCATTTTGTATTAATCTTTTAGTTAGAGAACCAAAACTCAAGAAAATTTTATTTTCCTTTTTGTAATGAGAGATTGCATGACTTTAAATATAAAAATGTTAGAGCGGATGTTCGAAAACCACGTTTTAACCGTGGTAATGACTGTGTTCCCCGTGAGAAACTGAGGGGCTACAGACGAGCCCGAGCTAGACACGGAAGTCTAAAGCATCTATTCGGAAATGAACGAGGTTCCCCTCCTCAAAACAGAACTCCACACGTATATTCGGGAGACATCGCGAATGGAACTTGCTTTTCCGAGGAGGAGAAAACCCGGCATTTACGCGTTCTAATCATTTAACCTTTTTTCTCTCTTATATTTGACAGACAATACAATGGCCACCGGACTCTGGCAACTAGAGGAAATCAATATGAAAACCCTCGACCTTTCCTAACGGAGGGAAGAAATAAAACTTGTAATAGAGCCCGCCGCTGTGCGGCACATCATAAGAAAAAGGCAAGACGCCCCCGAAGCATCGTCTCCAGAGGTGCTCATCTTGCCCCTGCCGGGGAGTTGGATCCTGACCTGAGAGGGGACATCGAAGAGGCGATGGCTTTGGCCACAAACAGAGCGTTACAACGCCAGGCAGAAAGAAACAGAGATAGATGGAATCAAAACTCCAACCGCGGATAAGACCCGCGACCTCCTAACTCGGAGGTCCCCGGCGCCTTCTCCCCTCAACGACAACGAGGAGAGGGGCGAGACCAAGAAATGACGAACATCATCAAAAGAATCAGATGAGACCAAGAGATATTGAACAGGATCAGAAAAATAAGACAAGAACAGGAGAGAGAAGCTATGTTCTCAGCGGCGGGGCGAGCGAGAGGTTGGCACCGCCGCTAGAAAAAAAAGGGGGAAGAAAATTTTTCCTTGTTAACGCATTTTTGTATTAATATTTTTAAATTTAAATATCTTTTCATTATTTTGTAATTTCATATATATGTATTTTATTAAATCTTGTAATCATGCTATATGACTAGTTGGATAATGTATTTGGAAGCTGATCCGTCGCGATCGGAAATAAAACGCTAGTCAGGCAAATGAGTTGATCCCCACGAGGAGAGGGAAAACGTGACCTTTGATAGCGAGATACAGCGGTCAGACTGGCAACCCGAGTTGCCAGGTAAAATGTAGCTAACCTCAGAACGACATTTTTAAATGGCGGGGAGTCCTGTGAGGGTCGTAAAAGCGCGTCGAAATTACGACTAATTACAAACTTTTACGTCGGAGAGTTTCGAAGATAGAATCGGGTCAAGAGGGTGTGTTAATGACAGAATCCAGATGGGACGAACACTTTTTCGAATTGTAAAACAAACGCGACGCAATGATAAACAACAGGGGGGAATGTCGACAGAGAGAAAGAGCTTTGTCGAGATGCTCGCTAACAAGTGTCGGGTCGAAGCAATCGAGAGAAAGGGGGTCTAGGAACAAAAGGAACATCTGTTAAGTCCGAACGCGGTAGGGGATAAATGGCCACAACAACATCTGGTGGACCGTTTAAGTTCAAAGATGTCCGGGAGAAGGGCCATAACGGAGAAAATTACGAGCACGAACATTAAAAGCCCCGTCATCACCTCTCCGACCTTTTCCCGACTCGGATCGGTCTCAAGTTTCGCCTAGAAACAAAAGAATGACCAATCGGGGTAAGGAAGAGGGTGAACGGGACCAATCAAAAGGGCGAGATTCGGGNTAGCCGAGTAGAAACAGACTGGCTGTACATATTCGGGACAGTCTGCTCATTAGAAAAAGTAGTTCCTGTAGGACTTCGATCCCGCATTCCCGGAGAGATAGGTTTACGCTTTCACCACCTCGGATGCCAACGCCAACACATTTAAATCTAGCCTAATGTTAACTGAATGGATAAACCACTAAACAACTGATAGTTGGGCCAGGGTTTGCGCCTGTTTTGTATAAAAGTTTTCCGACAGGCATTGCTTTTTCTCGTGTTGTGTTGTCGTATACTGTCAACCCATAAGCTTTTCTTATAAATTTAACTGATGAGAAACGGAAAGTGAATTCACCCGTGTCGGAGATGCTTACATCATGTTTACTCGGGTTTACATTAAAAAATTGACATGTTTAATATCTATCAAAATCTCTAGTCGTATATAATTTGGCAAATTAAAGCCCGATGTTATACGGCAATTGAAGGTGGTTATTACAATGTATCGGGTGTAGTTAAGATGTTTATACTGTAGTAAAATATTTACTTACTTTTGGAATTGAATATCTAATTGTTCCAAATCGTTTATAAGATATAAGGCGATTTTTTCTATTAATTCAGTTTTCAGTTCATCCTTTTAAGATATTTTGCTATCGATTAAACATTAAATTATACAAAAACTTTTCGCCTTTACACTTAAACTAAACTTACAGATTGATTGTCTTCTAACAATTGAATTTTTTTTCTAAAATACATACGAAAATCCTCCTATATAAGTTAATTAATGAATACGGTGAATAAGTAAACCATGAAGAAAGTAAAGTAAGAGTGAGTCAAATAAAAGCGAGCAAACGTAATTTTTCGCAAACTGTTATCTGTAAGTATAAGTAATGGTCATTGGGCATTGTGTCATTTGTCTTTTAGATAATGAGCCTGGTGATTCCGTAGATATTTTTTGGTTTCTGCTTCAGGAAGTCTTTAACAATCTCCTGCACCACTTAATCCAAGGAGAGCCTGATATTTTTCGGATATTCTTTCAATTCACCGAACACACGTGCTGTCAATAAATGGTCCTTTGCCGTTCATTGACAACACTCGGACTGTAGAGTGGGTGCTGCAAAATTTCCCATAGTTCTCAAGTTTGTTAGGAGATACATTTGCAATGGGCAATCTTTTAGTGTCGGGTTAGAGGATTACAGTATATGAGATTTGCAATTAGTAATAAGTGTTTGTGCTCATTCTTAATTGCATTTCGTCCTACAGTCTAGACCTTTTATCGTGTTACTTTCATGTGTTCAATGTATTGAAAAAGCATCCGAAGGGTTGCAGGTTCGGCTCGGTTGAAAAGGTGCAGGAAGCGTATTTCTGGATCCTAGGATGCAGAACTTCAAAACTTTCTAAAGCACAAACTAAAAGATTTCTGATTATGGAATTACTACATTCGTTATTCAATGAGACAAACGCCTCAAAGCTGATGGTAGTCACTTTTAACCTACAATTTTCGAAAAGTTGCATTTGTTCACCTTCTTTTGACTCGCCCTAATAAATAATAATTCCTAATCATATTCATATTTATATACACCTTGATAGCTTTGATCACATTCCGTTCCATACGTTTGTCAAAAGCTCCAAAATTAATTATTAATCTGCAATAAAAAATTGGATTTTAAAATACAGTCGACCCCCTATAACACTATTGATTATTCCGTTTTATATGAATTCCATGTTGTACGAGTCACTTAGATTTTACAAATACCTGAGCCATCCACAGCCCGAAACACGTATATGTAAAATCTAAGTGACTCGTAAAACATGAAATTCATATAAAACGGAATAATCAACAGTGTTATAGGGGGGTCGACTGTATTGTCGTCAAGAAATTAATTATTTTCGAGATAAATTCGAGACTGTACCTCAACAGTGAACGAAACTGAAGTCGATTTTGTGCATCCTTCAAGTGAAATATTTCGTGTAAATTTCTCAAATAATCCAGACAATGTTCTTGAAAAATAGATAAATCTTTTCTCAATGAAGATTTCAAGGTTGACTGATCCTCAATTAATGTTAATTTATTGTTGATGTTATGCAGAACGTTGTTATAAAGGATGAAGTTATAACTTAAATTTCTGTCGTTTAGGTAATGTCGCATACAAAACCATACACTTTACAGGAGCAAATAATTAACACAAGCATTACATTTTTATAATTTGATAACTAATAAAGACATAAATTACGTGAAATACTAAGTTGTACCAGATGTAGTGATCTATAGGAAAGAGTCCATATTGTACACCATGTTGCATTAGAAAAGTCCAACCTTCCGGATCAAAGGCTCCATGTAAATATTCGTAGTCTTCGTAACCGAGCTGAAACAATGAATATGGTAAATTAATCAATGTTTAAACACTGTTATTAAGTCGTTTGGATTGGAATGTATTAAATTGATGAATAGATGGTACTAGAGGAAATTGATGGTAGAATGCTGGGACCATTAATCTGAACCTAAAAGGAGATAGTTTTTCCATGCGTTTTTATTCCCACCAGACAATTTGGTTTGATGGTTTACGTACAAGAATGGTCTGTTAAGGACAAGATGCTTTCCGGAAAGTATTTCTACAGGAAACTGGTCCCCATTTAGGTATTAAACACTTGAAAACACTTGTAAAATTCCATACTGGTATCCCATTGATAAAAACACGAAACCGCAATCAACTGTTTTCCAGTGGAAATCACTGTTCAGTGGTTTTATTCACTCAGCCAGTGGTGGGATCTAGTGCTAGGTAGCCAAACACCACAAGATCTTCCGTGATGACAGAGCGGTTCAGCCTACCGCTCTGGTGGAGTGAGGCTCGAATTCGAGCGAATAACTCAATATATGGAAATGAAACGATTAGCTAACGGAAATCTTCAAAAAAAACTTTTTAAGGGTAATTGGCCCCTATTTAGGTACTACATAGGAGAAGACACCCCCCAAAAAACTCTAGTTGATCATGCGCGACCTACTGATCAGTGTTCCGTAATATTACCCATACGACCACTATTAGGCACAAAAGCTAAGAGCAGATGATTATTTGATTATTGAATACTCACTTCGGTTATTCTGATGTCTTTCAATAAAAATAATCGACACAAATTAATATGGTTTTCAATTGCAGGAGCAAATGAACGATTCTTTTCAGCTTTAAATTCATAATTAATTACCAACGATCCTCGAGACATGATCTTGTCGTCTTTAAAATATACCGTAATCGCATTTTCAGTATCTCCGGTATTTTGAAGAAATGGTAATTCCTTTTTGTTTAATAAAACAGTTAGATTCTTATCAACAATAAAATATAAAATGATTGTAATTTTCCTAACTTTAATGGGAATTTCGGCCGAAGAAACGAAATTATCTCTTGATTCCATATTCTTACATCTAAATATTCTGTGAAAACGTATGAAGTTGTGTTATCACATATTTGAAATGAAAATGTACGTTTAATGATTACTAATGAAAAGATTTTACTTTCTGATAAAAGATTTTCTGTTCACATTTTTTGCTGTCGAATCGACATTTTTCTTCCTGCAAATTATTTTTTATTAAATAATTTAAATTATATTCAAGAATATTCTTAAATATATTTAGAATATCAACTATTGTTTTCGACTTACCAGAGTTGAATTGTTAAAGTCCTTTCGTTGGAAACATTCTCTCTGCAAATAATTTAATGTAAGTATAGTTCATGATTTGTTTTTTTGGTATTAATAGTACTGTTTACAATTAGATTGGATTAAGTCAGGTCTTCCCAAACTTTTTAAGAGGAAAGCCACATTACTAATTTCGACAATAGCATTTTCAATTTCCATATACATTGTGAATGTGTCTCTTTAATTTGATCAATTCAGTTCGGTAGACTATCAATACAGCTTTCAGGTTAGATACTTCTTTTATTGTTTTGACATATGCATTTCGGACTTATATGAATTTTAAGTCCCTCTTCAGTTCAAAACCAAGGTTCTGTCTTCTAAAAACCACGGTGTATAACGGGTAACGTTGGAAGTAGTTTAAAATACAATAATATAATATAATAGGTATAATATAATAGATGGCGCTAATAGATAAAATTGATTGTAATATAGTGTGACATAAAATAGTGTATACGTATTCTCTTGAAAATGTTTTAATATTAATATACTACGTATTATTAATCTGTAAAAAGATTATAATTGCTGCGACATGATATTGTAGAACATACACATTCTGTAAAAGTTGTAATTATACAAGATTTTATGAACACATGTTAAAAGTTTACCGTGTTATTGTGAAAATGTATTTGAAGTGTTTTTAATGGCTGTATTTTAAACTACTTCCAACGTTACCCGTTATACACCGTGGTTTTTAGAAGACAGAACCTTGGTTTTGAACTGAAGAGGGACTTAAAATTCATATAAGTCCGAAATGCATATGTCAAAACAATAAAAGAAGTATCTAACCTGAAAGCTGTATTGATAGTCTACCGAACTGAATTGATCGGATTAAAGAGACACATTCACAACGAAATAGCACGTATATACAAATTGAAATAAAACTAATCATAAAACTTTATTAAAAAGTAAGAAAGTACGTTATAAATATTATGTGTAAATCGCGATTCAAAAAAGTACTTTAATTTAATTGTCTAGAAGCAACTGGAGCTGATAAATCCTCGTCGTAAGCCATGGTTAGGGGGTTCCTGAACTAAGTCAACGCAATGAGTAGACGATCTGCAAAGGGGGGTTCTTCACATTATGAGTTTCATTGGAAAACTGGCGACTGTTTAGGTGATATGCACGTGAAGACAATTCGGAAAAATCAACGTGAATAAGATACGAACTAGCAACAACCAGTGTTTGCCGGTTTCAAAGAGTGGCTTTTAACTGATATCTTTCGCGAGATCGGCCAGGCCCACAATAGAAACGGTCGGATGGTGAGGGACGAAGACAGACGGCCCAGGCAAAATTTCCAGGATGTCGTTCGTCCGGATACCATAGAATGGTAGGCTGGTTTATTGACCACCTCCTTCATCCGACCGCATTCGTATGCATTTATGCAAACTTTATAAATATGCAATTAATTAATGTAGAAATAGTTTACAAATTATGAACGGAATAAGTATTTACATAAGCGAAGTTTCCTTGCAAGAAGAACGGTCATTAGTTTTCGGAATTTTTGCTATTTTCTTTTCTTTAGGATTGGTCCAAACAATGCAGTAAGAACTTATTTCCTCATCTGAAGAAGATTATTCCTCATCAAGAAAACATAATATAAAATCGTTAATTATATGCAGATTATTTCAAACTCACTTTGACTTTCGTCCGATTGCAATAAGTCAGCGGAAACGATAGTAAGTTTTAGCCCAATGACCGGTTTCTATAGGAAAACACAACTAAATATAATCGTTTATTATGCAAGATAGTCATAAAGTAACTTGACCGATCAACGACGATCTCGGGAGAGCGAAAAGTGAGGAATACATTGAAACTTTTGCAGGATAAGTACAGGGTAACATGCTCTCGCGATACACGAAAATACTCAGGTAAAACAAGTTTTTTCAATTTCCGATACAAACACCGAAAATTCATGAAATTATGAGATTTCGCATAAAGGAAAAAGCATAAGGCGTTGGAAGGTGTGTATAGAACGAGAAATAACAAGAGATGTGTGAACAATTGAAAGTGGGCTAGCCAATAACGAACGATAGAAGATCCATACACTTTCGCAGATGAGGCGGCAGCAATTTAGTTAAAGCGTGTTGTGACGTAAGCTGCGTTGTAAAAGCATCTGTTTAGTGAAATTACAGAAAGCGCGCATTCTTCCGTTTACTCCCAAGTCCTCGAATGTGTACGGGTCTTCTATCGCGGCTATTGCCTCGCTCACTTTCCACTGTTCAAACGCCGATATTTCTAGTATGAAACGCTTGTTGTTTGGATAACTGTTAAATTTTCAATTGGCTATTAATATGCCAGAAAACCAAACTTATCAAAATGACCACATATGAATTTAAAGTGAAATGATAAAACAGTCACCTTAAAGTCATATGTGGTCGTCATGATAAGTTTGATTTTCTGGCATATTAATAGCCAATTGAAAATTTAACCGATATTTCTGTTGCTTTTCGTACTACACACCTTTTCAATACCTTATGCTGTAGCCTGTCACGAAAAAATCTTATAGCATCGTGAATTCCCGTGTCTGTATTGAAATTTTCGAGTGACACGTGTTCTTCCCCTATTTTCGTGTATCGCGAGTGCATGACACTTTGTACTTACCCCGCGAAACTTTCAGTGGATTCCTCGCTTTTAGTTGGTGAAGTGACTTTATGACCACCCCTTAAATCAATTTGTTCTTCATTTAGGAGTGAAGATTTCTGCGGACTTTACCTTCCACTGTGATAAAGTTTCTTTAATTTTTTTCCATTTATTTTTTTCTGTCGGAGGTAATAGAACTTTATTTAGATAAAGGAATAATTCTTCTTTTGTACACGGACATAAATCATGTGGTCTTCCAATATAGTTATTCGCTACGCTGAGGCAAATAGAATATGTTTGCCATAGCTGAAAAGAAAATAAGTTTTGTAAATTCAATTGTTTCCAGTTAAAATTAAATTTATTATCGTGCAGGCAGGCTGATCGCTGCACGATACTAACAAGGAGACACGTCCTGAACTTTGCTGAAATTTTTAATACCTGTTAATACACCTCTTCCATTAATGCACGATAATGTAAACTATTGCTAATTGGCACGAGTTATGTTACGTGTATTAGTGGAAAGNATCGTGCAGGCAGGCTGATCGCTGCACGATACTAACAAGGAGACACGTCCTGAACTTTGCTGAAATTTTTAATACCTGTTAATACACCTCTTCCATTAATGCACGATAATGTAAACTATTGCTAATTGGCACGAGTTATGTTACGTGTATTAGTGGAAAGGGTGTACTAACAGGTATTAAAATTTAAGCAAAGTCTAGGATTTGAAAGCTTGAATGTATCTTTGAAATATTATTCTACTGTACATAAAACATGAAAGGTAATATACATGTAATCAGGAAATTGGACATACAAAAATTATAACTACAAGAAGTAGAATGAAAGATTTGGTTTAATGGGATAAGGAAATGCAACACGTGGGCATTTGTGCCTTCCTAAAGGACTTTATGTAGGTAACTGATCTCTACTTGGAGTTAGACATGTGAAGAGAATCGGGAAAACGGTATGTAGATGAGGCGTGAATCCTATAAACAGTGTTCTGCGGTTTCATCTACTCGGCTATTGGTGGGTAGAAGAATAAAAGCACACCATTCTGTAAAATTAATGAAAGGAAAGAAAAATTATATTATGGACGGACTGCTAAGGCTAGGAAAGAAGAAACATTCAATGTAATCAATCAACAAAGCAGAAATAATACAGTCTGTAAAGAAATTATAAACTCAAGTGAAATTTCTCTGTGTTTTAATTTCTTTTCATCCACAGTTCATTGTTGCTATATCTAATGATTTTAATTAGTGTTAAGAATTTATAATGAAATAGACAAGTCTTTGTATTGTTTCATTTTAATAAACAATGAAAAATTTTAATTGTTACAATTTTTTGTTGTAAACAATTTATAAACTCAAGAGTGATTTAGTACGTTTTTAATACTTTGTGGACCCTCCCTTGTTTTCAATTACCTCCACAACTCGTTTAGGCATTGAATCAACCAGGTTTTGAATGTCACTTAGTTTAATTTTGTCCCAGGCATTATACAATGCAACTTTAAGCTCATCGGATGTGTTGTATTGTTTTCCATGGCGATAAACTAATGCCACAAGTTGACTCCAAAGGTTTTCAATGGGATTAAGGTCTGGACTATGTGCTGGCCAAACCATAACTTCAATTTTTTCACGTGAAAACCACTTTGTAGTACTGGCTGACTTGTGAACAGATGCATTGTCCTGTTGATAGATCCAGTCTTGACCACCAATGAGAGGACCAAATGGGATTAGATGTTCATATAAGATAGCTTGGTACATCTCAGAATTCATTCGCCCATTAATAAATGCCAAATTGTTTTTCCTTCATATCCGATTGCTGCCCAGATCATTACTGAACCTCCACCTTGTTGTCTACTGAATTTGACCCTGGGATTTTTTCTTGTATCATGCCAATAATATGCTTGGCCATCCGGGCCATCCAGGTTAAACTTTTTCTCATCTGAGAAAACTATTTTTATCCATTCAGTTGTCCAATTAACATGATCTTTTGCCCATTGCAGCCTTGTTGACCGATGTAACTCTGTAGCTTTGGTTTGGACTTCAATTTCCTAAAGTTTATTGTTTTATTCTTTCTCAAGCTTTTCTACACAGTTTTGTGGGACACTGGAGTTGGTAAAACTGCAGCTATCTCACGAGTAGACAATGATTCATTTGTTGCAAGACTAGCAATGCGGCAATGGTCATGAGGCTGCAGACTTGGTTTTCGTCCTGTACGTTTAATTTTGTTATAATTGTCACCCTTTTTTAGTACATTTTGTACTGCAGTTTGAGATCTACCAAGTTTTGAAGCAATTTTTTGAGTTGGCCATCCTTTTCCCTTAAAGAAATAGATTTTTCGTATTTCACTTTCAGTTAGGGTTACTCCCCTTGGCATTTTTGTCACTTTTTAGTTTGAATTCTCAGACTCACCCAAAATGTTACACATACTAATTTACATTACTATTACAGTTGAATGGATTGTTCCATTCAACTGTAACAATCAGTTTTCACCCTTGAGTTTATAAATTGTTTACAACAAAAAATTGTAACAATTAAAATTTTTGTTTGTTTATTAAAATGATACAATACAAAGACTTGTCTATTTCATTATAAATTCTTAACTCTAATTAAAATCATTAGATATAGCAACAATGAACTGTGGATGAAAAGAAATTAAAACACAGAGAAATTTCACTTGAATTTATAATTTCTTTACAGACTGTAGGTCATTAGTAGATGGTCGCGGTTTCGTTCTCACCAACAGCTTGCCAGGTCGAGTTTTCCTGATTATTTTCATGCGTCTCAGACGTAAATAGGTGGCAAGTTTCCATAAAAGATTTCCAGGAGGGAAACACCTTGCCAATTCAATTCAACCTAATCCACATATGATACTTAATGGCAGAGACAGATAGACAGCCAGGGAGCCTGACCGCATACATAAGTTCTCTTATTCTAAGCGCTTTTATTCCGAGATTAGCGAATTAATAATAGATATGTAAAGAGACTTTTAATGTCCTCAATAGAAAAAGAATTTTAAGTAAATAAACTTATGATTATTAATAACAACCATTGCCTACTTTAGAGTATTTTTCCAATTTCTTCAGGAATATTTCCATTTTTTCGGAGTAGTCAGATGACTCCTGTTTAAAGTGTGAAAATGCATTTAAGTTTTTAAACAATTTATTAACATTTAATGTTGGGAGAGTACTTACCATAGATATTCTTCNACTTTATTTATAATATTTACTGTGTTGAAAATTATTTTATCATTTGTTATTTGATTATTAAATATTACTTAATATCGCATTACAGTGTTTACTCCTAGGATGTTACTTTCTGGGATTCGTCCACCTCTTTCATTAATAATTCAGCAAGTTTTCGTTCCATCTTTGACACCATACTAACCCTATCGGTTTGTCTATAAAAATTATCATAAACTTCAAAATAATTTCTTTTAAACGCAAACATTATTAGATCTACTAAGGTTTTATTTATTTTTAATTGTATAAGGCTGTGTTTTACTCATTTCCATTTCATGTTAGGGTACATATTTTTCACATCTAGACTAATTAATGTGTCTGTTTTTTCCTGTTTAATTTTTTGAATAATGTAAATTACTTCATCAGCATTTTTAATGCTATTTCTAGAATTATCAATGTATTTTAATTGTTTTTAATATAATTTTCTAAATTGTACAGTATCGAGTATCTGAAATCAACAATAGGTCTATATTTTTCTTTTTTTTTATGTGTTTTTAACCGCATATGTAATTTGGGATTTGTATTATTACTGAAGTTAAGTATATTATTTGTATCGATTTTACTAATACAGATAACCCCCGTATAACACAGCACTTCTATAGCACGGATTCGCTCTAACACGGTTCGAGAATTGGTACCATCCCCCGTATAACATGGTACTTTTATAGCACGGATTCACTCTGACACAGTTCGAGAATTGGGTAAAACCCTCGTACAACAGGAAATGTAATAAATTTTTACATACTTAAGTAATAATAGTTTACGAAAATTATTATTTTCGTGAACTATTAGTACTTAAGTATGTAAATTTTCTCTTCTCGCCTTCTGTCGATACACGTGTTCTGTCGATATTTCAAATGATGCGGTTTCCATTTTATTAAAAATTTGTTGTAAAACAAATATAAATGGCTGGTAGGTAGGTCTACAGTCTATTTTTTTGTTTTGTTTTTTGAAACTTGTTCTCGAAACTTGTTTCAATGTGGCCAGATCTCGACGCTTCTGCTTTTGATGTTGCCGAATGTTGCTTTATTTTTCATAAGTGCTTCGCGCCATATAAGGAAATTTATAAAGATTTTTTAACTAGAAGCAACGAATCTAAAATTACATACATTTTGGAAAAGGTAAAGCATGGATCTGAAGATAATGCAGAAAAATGCTCAAAGGATAAGGATAACTTGCGAAAAAGAAAACGCTCTCGGTTAATAGTGCTTTTAGTGACGACAAAGAAAACATTGTTTAATTTATATTAATATGTATCACTTTAAAAAATTTTAATAAACATATTTATATTAATTATGAAAATATAGTAGCATGTTTTTTAATTTTTGGAACCTAACCCTCCTTTTCGTACTAGTTCTTTGATTCGCATAACACGAATTTGCATAACACGGCAATTTTTTGAAACGTAACTACTGTGTTATACGGGGGTTACCTGTATTTATTTATTATTAGTACTGGCGATGTCATGAAGACAATGATTGCCGACTCCCATACATTAATGAGAGTTTTGAATCAAATATAATCCCTAGATTGTGGTCTCTATCAACAATTTCCAATTTTCGATCATCAATAGAAAAAGATATTGCATGTTGGTGCTCTCATCAAGCTATACATTATTATTTTGATCTTGCTAGAGGTTAAAGTTCCAGTTACGTTACGTTTGATAAACTTTTCGAAAGTTTGTGTTGTAGACTGAAATAAGGAGTTATGTTGTAAAATATATACAAAATGGTTGTAAAATTATACATTTTAGTTCGAAATAGATTTTATTGTCATTAAATGTATGAATAATTTATAAAATTTTCTTTAATAATTCAAACTGTCAATTGTAATTATGTTATACAGTAGACTCCGCTATAACACGGTAGATACGTTCCATTTTATATGAATTCCGTGTTTTACCAGTCACTTTCATACATGAGCCAATTACAGCCCGGCACGTGTGCAGTTTAGGGACCACGGCTGTTTGAAATATTTTTTCCATAAAATTAATCGATTCTAGACTAATTTGACTCAACATTTCCAAAACACGTATAATTTTTTGGGAATAATTCATATAAACTATGCTATAAACAAAAAATTGTAGGATTACTTACCGAGTGTGCACCGTTCGAC